AACACTCTAAAAGCAAGACGTGTAAAAGTCCACTAGGTTTCAAAGGACTGCAGGCTAACTTCTAAGTAACTAAAAGCCTTTCTCACATTGGCTGATGGTAATGTTTATGAGTCCATCATCAGGAGAACACTGAACAATCACGGTGTGTGCATGGCAGAGTCGCAAGAAGAAAGCCTCTGCTCTCCAAAAAGAACATCGCTGCCCATCTGCAGCTTGCTAAAGATCACGTGGACAAGCCAGAGGAATTCTGGAGAAATGTTGTGTGGATGGATGAGACCAAAATAGAACATTTTGGTTTAAATGAGCAGCGTTATGTTTGGAGAAAGAAAACCCTGCATCCCAGCATAAGAACCTTATCCCATCTGTGAAACATGCTGGTGGTAATCTCATGGTTTGAGCCTGTTTTGCTGCATCTGGTCCAGGATGGTTTGCCATCATTGATGGAACAATGAATTCTGAATTATACCAGCAAATTCTGAAGGAAAATGTCAGGACATCTGTCTGAGAACTGAAGCTCAAGAGAAAGTGGGTCATGCAGCAAGACAACGACCCCAAGCACACAAGTCGTTCTTCCAAAGAATGGCTAAAGAAGAACAAAGTTAATGTTTTGGAATGACTGAGTCAAAGTCTGGACCTTAATTCAATTGAGATGTTGTGGAAGGACCTGAAGCAAGCAGTTCACAGGAGGAAACCCAGCAACATCACAGAGCTGAAGCGGTTCTGTACTGAGCAATGGGCTAAAACTAATACAAGCCGTTGTGCAGAACTGATCAGCAGTTACAAGAAACGTTACCTGCAGTTCTTGCTGCAAAAGGGGGTCACACCAGATACTGAAAGCAAAGATTGACATACTTTTGCCACTCACAAATATTTAACACCAAATCATTTTTCTCAATAAATAAATGACGAAGTATATCTTTTTTATATAATAATTCTCTTTGATGTCAACTTTCAGGACTTGTATGAAAATCTGTTAATTTATGCAGAAATATAGACAATTATATATAAATATATATATTAGATTTTATTAAAATATAAATATTAAAAAATATATATTTCTTAGAAAACGGTAAAGAAGAAATTAGATCACAATTTATTATCTATCTTTAGATTCAATTCTAATCTTTTTAGTTAGCTGATTTTATGATACATATTAATGATCATAGATCATAATATAATTCTTGATTGGTAAAATAAAAAGCCTCTTCCCTTCATAGGCAGACTTTTCTATTTTATTTATTTATTTTTAATTCATTTTAGATTTTACACGAAAAACTGTTACGAAATAAAATGAATAAAAACGTGTTATTTTATTTTATATATTCAATTCTATATTTAGTTTAATAGATTTTTATGATAAATATAAATGATCATAGTATTTAAGATCATAACATAATTCTTAATACAAATTTATACTTTAAGAAAAAATGAAATTAAATCAACAGTTATTTTATAGATTAAATTATATATTTTTGATAGATAAAAATGATCTTACTATTTAAGCTCATAAATTAAATACTAGTCAGATTTCCTTCATAGACCCCTGTCTGTATCTGTAAATGTGTTGTAAGTCTAAATGTTTAGCAGTAGGTGGAGCCACATTCACTGCCTTTATATTCCAGCAAGAATGTTGCAGTGAGAGAGAAAAAAACATAATTTGAAAAGGCTTGAGAGAAAAACTTGCCTCTTATAAGAACATGATCGCAGGCACCTCATGTGTGAGAGACTCCAGTGCTCCTCAAGGATGGATGGATATATAGACAGATAGTTATTGGATAGATGGATGGATGGATAGATAGACAGATAGTTATTGGAGAGATGGATGAATGGATGGATGGAAGGATACATAGACAGACAGACACAGACAAACAGACAGACAGATAGATAGATAGATAGATAGATGCATATATAGACAGACAGACAGACAGACAGACAGACAGACAGACAGACAGATAGATAGATAGATAGATAGATAGATAGATAGATAGATAGATAGATAGATAGACAGATAGATAGACAGATAGATAGAACAGATAGATAGATAGATAGATAGATAGATAGATAGATAGATTTGTATGTGTTGCATTTTTTGACCCAATATTTATTTTTTCTCACCTTTGACTCTTTTTTTTTTATTTTTTTTTTTGCAGTGCACTGAAGGTTATGAATTTGACTATGAAAAACAAAGCTGTAAAGGTAACAGCTTGTCTCCTCTCATATTGCTGTCTTAATAGCACAAGCGTTAGCGCTACACCAGGATATCAGCCAGGCTGATTTAGTGGCCAGTCGTTGACCCTCTGAGATTAGCAAAGTGTTATCACATTTATACAGTATATACATATACAGTACCTGCACTGAATCAGAATAGCAGCATCAGCCATTAAAAAACCACCAAGAATTATCATACTGCATTGACAGATATTCATGTACAAATTCATGTACTTTTTGAAGATAACTACTTTTGTTTCTTTTTATATTCCTCACAGATATAGATGAGTGTAAGACAGTGCAGGAAGCCTGCAAAGGGGGCATGAAATGCGTCAACCATTTTGGTGGCTACCTCTGCCTTCCCCACAACGCTCGGATAATCATCAGTAATGGCGAGGATGAGCCCACTACCGCCCCGCCAGTGGAAAGAGTAGATGTTCAGCCCGGCTTATCCCCCATCTCCAGGAATGATTACTCAAGAGTCATTCATAGCTCAACACATACACTCCAGTGTGGCGTGGGTTTC